CCAGCCCACCAGAAGAAGGACAAAAGCAGTAGAGGCTGCGAGTGTGTGAGGGGCAGGACAGACAAGCCTACAAAAGCCAGGAGCCTGCATCCATGTTGCATTTGGGTTGACACTGGGCAGGTACAGTCAAGACACTTGCAGGAGGAAGAGGATGCCAAAGGGCCAACTGAACTGGCCACCAGGCAGGTGGACAAGGTGAGGGGACACAGCTCTTCTTCCTCTCCATTGAAGCAGCAAAGGGTGGAGCTAAACAACCTACCGGGCAGGGCAGAGAGCAGAGGTTATGCTTCAGTGCTCTGGGGTCTAAGCCCCCAGCCCCACTGCCCCAGTCCCCCATGGCACTACTAGAGGAGCAGAGACTGAAGCAGACAGAGCAGAGCTGGCTGGTACCACCAAGCAGGGTAAGGACAGGAGCTCCAGCTTCTGAATGAGTGTTCCAAACCAAGCACCTTAGCCTGAAATTAGGACACTGCTTCTCTGTTTTGGCTTCCCTTTGCATTTCCAAGATTTAAGCAGGGGTGTTTGTCTCAGTACATTAAAGCACTCCAGCATCAGACCACTGCAGGCATCCCTACATCTCCAGCACTTCCATCAGCCCCCACCCAGTGACCCTCCACCCAGCAGCCAACTCTCCTGCCCCATGGGAGCTCCATGCTGTGGAAGGCTCTGATCACTCATCTCCTGCAGGACATCCCCCTCTGGCTGCAGAGGCACTTGAGTGGCTTAGCCCAAGGGGGTTCTAGCTGAGCCCATCCCAGCCAAGCCTTCCCTGGGACTTCAAGGAGGAAGTTCTTAAGCTGTTTGACTTGCTGGCCCGTAGCATCTCCTCCCAGCAGCCCCCCAGCACAGTTCTCCAGGCACGGGAGCCAGCAAAGCCACCCAGAAGCTGATCCCAGACTTTCTCCCCCCTGCCTGCACCCAGCAGGGAAGGAGGCTGGACCTTGGGCTCAGAGATCACCAATGAGCTCTGGCAGCTCCCGACCACACCGACCTCTCCCCCGGGTCTGCCCG